ATTGACTGAAGACTCAGAGGTGTGCACACATATACGTTGTGGCAAATACTAAATGAATTAAAGTACAGTGAGTCCCTGGATTATGAACATCTGACAAATGGAGAACCTTTACTTGCCTTTTCATATTATGTGAATTGTCTTTTCATATTATGTAAATTTTCCCTCACTTTGAAATGATTGAACTGATTTTGATCTTTATCACAATCACCTTCATCTGCTGCATGGACAGCTTTTAAATCATGGAAGAAACTTTGAGACTTTGTCTTGCACAAACCCAAACCCACACTCATTGCCCTTGGATTGCTTTTGCTTCCATCACATAGAGTTTCTGAGACTGTGGATTCTTGCCAGAGCTGCAGTCACTTGCCCCTTTGTTGTTCAGAGAGTTTATTTCTTACTCTTTCAACAATACTGTGTGTGTGCGTGTGTGTTTGTCATGGGAGGGAAAAATCATTGTTGTGGATTACTGCTAAATAATTAGGTTTATCCCATTGGTTTAAACCCAGCTTTAAAAATGCGTATTGATGGCCTTTTCTCCCCTGAGCTTTGTGAAACTGTAGAAACTGTAGTTAACTTTTGATATGTCTTAGTCAAGGTATGAAAAAGGTGGGGGGGAGAAGAAGAAGGAAGAGGAAAGAAAGAAAGGGGTGAGGCACAGGCAAGGCCAGGGATGGGGTAGGCAGGTAATACTTGGGAACTCATGATAGGTCAGTATTTTGTTCTATTGTATATGCAGTTACCTTGAGTTGGAGTTGACTCCATGACAACCAACAACATTGATGACCTTAAAGCCCATCTGCCTGAACTAGATTTGTTCACGCAAACCAGACATCCTCAGCAAATAGGATGTCGCCTCTCCCTCTGTCAAAATTTTTATTCACTATGTAGGCTTGTTCTTTTAATTTGACAATTGAATGTTTTACTTCATAAATACTGGGAACTACACAAAACTGTCCATACATTCTAAAGGTTTTGAGGAAGCTTTCTGTCATTATGTAAAACATAGCAAGATGGTTTTCCTAAATATTCTACTAAATTATTAAACGAATTAATACATTTTAATCTGTAATATTCATTTTCAAGTCATCAAATCGACACATTTTGAAATAGATTAAGAATCAATTTCCTTACTTTAAATATCTTTATTATACTGAACAACATCATCACACATTTATGAAAAGAAATGATAAAGTTTTATTTGAACTAAATGACTCACTTCAAATTTCGAAGACAATCTACAAAATAAAAACACATATTCTCAGAAAATAATAATTCACAAATTACACATCATTATGAGTAATTCCATATCATTTCAATAATTCCATGACATTGTTGCTAGGCTACCCCTGGTTGGGTAAACAATTATAATTGTTGATTGCTGAATAATTGCTGATTCTGAGTAATAAAATTCATTTAAGAACAACTGTATTTTACCATTACCAGAGATTAAAATAAAAGCCCTGTAGATATACAAGGAGGTACTCCCACCCAAAAAACGGAATTTTTTTAAAGCTATGTATTTAATTTGTTTTACAAAACAAACTTATCACCTTCAAAGTACTCTCCATTATACTTAATACATCTATCAAATCTGAGATTCCATTCCTGAAAACATTTTTCAAACTCATCTGTTTCAATGTCTGACAGCACCTCCCTCATTTTTTCTTCACCTCTTCTATGTCATCAAATCACTGTCCTTTCATGTCCCTCTTCATTCATGGAAACAATAAGAAGTCGCCTAGAGTGAGGTCAGGTGAGTAAGGTGTGTGGGTCAAGAGAACCACGCTGTTTTTTGCCCAAACCTGACGCACTGAGTTGGCTGCAGGTGCATTGTTGTGGTGACAAAATCAGTCCTCTGCCTGCCACAAATCAGGCCTTTTTGTCGCACACTGTTATGCAATCTTTTCAGAATCTCTAAACAGAAAGCTTGATTAACAGTCTGACCTGGTGGAATGAACTCCAAATGCACCACGAGTCAATCTTTTCATCCATTCGGGAAGTTGAGGACATCCAGAATGAGGTTTGTCATCAATCGACATTTCACCTTTTTTGAGACAAGAAAACCACTCATTCGCTTGAGTTTTTCCCATAGTGCTGTCCTTGTAAGCTGCATTCAACATCATAAAGTTTCTGAGGCATTTTTCCCAAACAGGAAACAAAATTTCATAGCCACACACTGTCCTCTTAAACCGGCTTCACAAAAAATTGAGGTTTGAGCTAAACTGCTTTCATGAAAAATTCACTGGGACCAAAGAGAACCTTCCAAGGCAATGCTACAGCTTGCACTAACTCAGAGCGAGCTGTTCGACACTTGCCAGACGGGGAAAATGCGTGCTACGAAAGCTCTGCTTTGCCCAGCACAAATTTTGTTTTTTGGGCAGTGGTACCCCCTCAAATGCTTTGTAGAGTTACTAACCAAAATGATTTCCTGAAGCTATTTTAACATGTCTTAAATATTAAATAAAATTA